GGTTGTAGCTTTGAGATTATGGTGGGATAGGCCCTCTCTTAGGTCTGGATTTGTCTTGGACACCTCTCAGTTAGGATGGGACTTGTTTTCTTCCTGAGCCTCCTGACCAAGGAGGAAGCCAGCTCCCGTGGCACTGATAGAAACAGAAGGCAGTGAAGCTTAGAACCAGTGTCAAAGCAAGACCATGGTGGAATCCTTCTGTTGTGAGGCTTCTGCAAAGACATCTAGAAAATTCCACGGCTACAGGGAAGGGAGAGAAACCAGGGCTCCTAATGCAAATATATTAGGAAAACAGCTGTTGGTATCAGTGAAACAGGGTTTTACAGAAAACCATGAGCTCAGACTGTGTGCTTGGGAAATTCTATCCCGGACTCTGGAGGCTGAGAAGTTGCCTTAGGGAATCTCTGTATCATTGATGACAGCCAAGAGTCCACATCTGCATCTCCTGATACAGATTATCCTGTCGGAGGATGTGGGAAGGTCACTCTGATTTCAGAATCTTTGCTGCCACGTCTCTTTGGTCCTGTAGTTCTGGGCCTCACAGCTGCGTGCACATTCAAGTCTTGCTCATTTCCCAAGGACCCTGGATTCTTAGTTCTCAAGGTGAGGAGTTGTGAGCACAGGTAGAAGCTGGGGCAACATTAGCACTCCCCGGATGGGGTGCTGCAGTGTTTGAATACAGAGGTGTCTGACACTTCCCCATGCCTCTTCTGATTCTGCAATGCATGATCACAGAGGTGTCCGACACTTTCCCATGCCTCTTTGAAACCAATCCTAGGTCAAGCTCGGTGGACAGGAATCTATCATTACCACTCCCTTTGCCCCTCCTCCATCCCATCCCCCACTAAGCTACCGACCACACCCACCCTGACTAAATCTAGTGGTTTATGTAGCCTCTTTATTGTCCCCCAATCCTCTCTGAACTCTGCGTTGTCAGTAATCTTTTTACCATGCAAACACACTCTCTTGTCTCCCCCCCTCCCCCGACCCCTGCTGAAAAGGCACATCTTGTGCAACATTGCATGCCAGCAACGATAGCTAATGTTGACTGGTCAACTCACCAGGATCTAGAAACACTCAGGAGACAAGCCCCCCAGGTCTCTCTGTGAGGGATTTTCTAGAGCAGTCTAGGGTGGGAAGGCCTTCTTATCTGTGAGTCATAATGGGACAGCAAGGAGAAATCAAGCTGAGTACCAGCCTCATCTCTCTGCTTCCTGACTTTCCTTGTCACGTGACCAGTTTTGCCTCACTCTCTGCCTTCATGATTTCCCCACGATGGAGGATTGTACCTTCAAAACATGAGCCAGAGTAAATCACTTTGGACAGATATTTTGTCATGGAACTCAGTCCCTGCAGCTAACCCTGCTGAGCTCCATAGGAAGGAGAGTGTCTCACTTCTTTAGTTTTGAAGGTACTTTCCCAAGGCCCTAGGGTAACAAGCTCATCTTCCAGCATGAAGACTCTGGAATAAATCTCTAACTTTGGATGCTGTTGCTCAGAGAACAGATTGAATCCTAGTTACCACATGCTACTGGAAGCAAAGAGTCGAGTTGAAGTGCATTCCTGGCTTAACTGTTATTTTCTACAAAGTACCAGTGATCGCCAGAGAGAAAGGAGATATTGGTCTTAGCCTGTGAGAAACTTAGCTTTGATCTAAAAGGGAACTATGAACGATCAGAAGGCCAGAGAAGTTGATGTCAAGGTCAACAGATTAGTTTCTCTGATAGGAAAAGACAAACCATTGAAGGCTGTCAGCAAAGGCAAGACACTGTGGCTTTCCTCTTCCTCATTTTCCTCCTCACATAGCCAAGGCCTGTCATCCTCAAGTCACCTCAAGGTAAGGAGAAATGTGAACCATTTGACAGATGAAGCATGAAGCAATGAGGTGACAGTTCAAAGGCACAGAACCTTTGTTTTAGTTTGGGTTTCTGTTGCTGTGATAAATGCCTTGATGGAGTGCAACTTGGGCAGGAAAGGTTGCATTTCATTGTACAGTTTGCTGTCCTTTTCTGAGGGAACCTGGAGGCAGGAACTGAAGCAGAAGGCACAGAGCTTACTGGGTTACTCAGTCTGCTTTCTTATCCAACCTAGGACCACTAGCCCAGGGGCGGCACTGTCCAACAGTGAGCCAGACTTTCCCACCTCAATCATAAATGAAGAAAATGTACCACAGGCTTGCTCACAGGGCATTCTGCTGGAAATATCATCTCACTTGAAGTTCCCTCTTCCCAAATGACCCTGGCTTGTGTCCAATTGAAAAAGTCACAGCCAGTGGAGACTAGGCATGAAGTCAGACCTTCCCCTGAGCAAACCAAAGAAATTTAGCTTTCTAATACCTGGACAGAGGGGTATGGGAACTGTTGAAGTAATTATTTAAAAATTGACCTCAGGTCAAGCCGACTATCTAAGCTGCATTGGCCCTGCCTAGCTCACCCGCCATGTTTCTCGGCCAGAGGCCACGTGTGCGCTGCAGCTAGAAATGGCCAGCCAGAAACACCAGCCCTGCCACCCACAAGACACCAGCTTGGGAGATGACTCTGCCAATCTTCCACACTGTTTCTTGCAAGGCTGGGCATTGCCCAGACCATCCCGCCATTCATGCAGGCCCAGTAATAAAATGAGACCCTAATGCTTAAAGATTAATCAAAGGCTTTATATGTTTGGTAATGATAAATAACAATATGCCCATACAAAGAGAAGAGTTGTTTCTCAATTAGCTAACCTAAACAAAAGTTGTTACCCATGACTGCTCTCCATACCTGCCTGGCTCTTCATGGCTCCTACATCTCTGCGCAATCTCTCTCTCTCTCTCTCTCTCTCTCTCTCTCTCTCTCTCTCTCTCTCTCTCTCTCTCTCTCTCTCTCTCCTTACTCCTCTCACCTTAGCTCCTCCTATAGGGAACTATCAGCATTTAGTTCAGTGGTTTGAAGCCTAGGAAAGAGCAGATCAGAAGAAGCAATCAGGACTGTGGGGGTAACGAGGAGGTGAAGCAAAAACCATGTGAGTGGGAGCTTCAGGGAGGGGACAAGGTCCACAAGTCCACATAGAGCTCGGGCAGGCTGTGGGTGGAGAAGCCTAAGAACCAGGATTTGCAGCCTGGTCCTCAGAGACTAATCTAGCACTCCACTCATTGTTTTAAGAAATGTGAACTAGTGTCTGCTCAGGCTGGCAGTTTAGACCTCAGGAGCTCTGGTTGGTTGGTATTATCGCTTTTATGTTAGGGAGAGGGGAGTGGGTTGATGGGTGGGGGTACACCCTCATAGAAGTAACAGGAAGGGGGATGGGATAAGGGGTTTCTGGGGTGGGGGGGAATAGGGAAAGGGGATAACATCTGAAATGTAAATAAATAAAATATCCAATTAAAAAAAAGAAAAAGAAATGTGAACCAAGGAGAAGGGCATCTTGGTTGTGTCTAAAGGCCACAGGGCAAGGTACTCAGGAGCCCTGGGACCAGTGGGACCCAGGCAACATAGGGAGTCTGCTCTGGGGGCATTCAAGAAGCTTGGTCCTGCCCATATCTGCAGCCTCTCCTTCCTCCTCTGTCAGTCAGTCAGCTTTTCAGTGCTGTTACAAATATCTCAGAGAATCAGCTTACAAACCTGGCTCTGGCACGGACTTCTCCAGGCTCCTGAGCTTTGGACCCAGGCAGAAGTGTGTCACAGGGGCAGCGAAGGCTTACCTCAGGATGGCAGGAGAGATGATCCTGGGGATGGTGGGCTCCCACGTTTCTGGCAAACACATGCCTCCAATACCCTGAAGACTCTACTTTATGGCTCTATCTCTTAAAAGTTTCACCGCCAGGGCCACCACGGGCAGGGGCCAGCTGTCAACTCACAAGTGTCGTATAAACCAAAGCAACCCCATCTCTATCCATACCCCTGACTTCAGTTTGGTCCTGGGGGTGAAATCCAGGGCTCAGCACATATCAGCAAGTACTATTGTACTCAGCTATATCCTTGGCCTTATATCTACAAATGCTTTCTAGTACGTGCTGTATAGCATGTTTTGCTAAGTCCTCTGCTATTACAGCATTGTATGCTGTCTGTACAAGCGAGAGTAGGGATGTGCACATGTATATCTGCATGCTATGTGGTACTCTGTCATTGACAGTCTCTACTATAGGAAGACTTTATCAGCATCTTGTCATTAACCTTTCACCCAAGCAAAACAACAAACAAACAACACAAACCTAAGAAGGCGATGTTGGAGACACCTTTTGCAGATCAGCACACTGAGAAACTGCGGTATCAGGAACCTGGCCAAAGTCACACAACTCACGTAGGCGAACCAGGACATTTCAGCTTAGATTTGCCTGCCTCTGGATGTCCGTACTCAGTATCACACCGCCGAGACTCACATGTGTGTAGAGTGGAGGCCGTGGGTGGAATGAGACCTTTAGGGTAGAGGGTACCGGGCATGGGGTTAGGGTTAAAGGCCAGCTACCATTGCCTGGGAGCTTCGCAAGGACTTCCATCTCATGCCCCTGCCTTACTCTCACCAGTCCCCTGCAATTGAACCCTACCCACACAGCTGTTCGTCCTTCAAAAGTTAGAGCTGCCCATTATCTCTGAGTAGAAATGGGAAAACTGAGGCCCAAGCTTTGGAAGGTCACAGAGAGGGGGGTAGAAGTTCAGGTGTCGCACTCATAGCCAACTTGGGCCTGGATAGAGGACTCTGCTGTTACCTGCACTCAGAAGCCAGTGAGTCAGGCAGCAGAGCAAACCCTGTGCTCTGAGTTAGCCAGGAGCTTGCAAGGTCAAGGTGTTAAGGGAAGCGCTGGCCACACCAGGTCAAGTCACCGGGACTTGCAGCCCCTCTTCCACCCCGGGGTTCAGGCAGGCAGGAGGTGGCCTGGGCACCGCGTCCCTGTCCCCTGAGGTCCGGCCCGGGCGGCTCCCTCGGCTCCACCCCCGGCTCCCCCGCCCGCCGCTCGAGCCTCTCAAAAGCCCGGGCGCCCGGGGCGGCGGCGCAGAGCCGGGGCCGGCGCACGAGGCGGCAGGGCGGCCATGACTGCGGAGCAAGCGCTGCCCCTGGGCAACGGGAAGGCGGCCGAGGAGGCGCGGGGGTCCGAGGCGCTGGGCGGCGGCGGCGGGGGCGCGGCGGGGACGCGCGAGGCGCGCGACAAGGCTGTCCACGAGCGTGGCCACTGGAACAACAAGGTGGAGTTCGTGTTGAGCGTAGCGGGAGAGATCATCGGGCTGGGCAACGTGTGGCGCTTCCCCTACCTGTGCTACAAGAACGGCGGAGGTGAGCGCAGCGGGGATGGCAGAGATGCGAGGCGACACATGGGGTGGGATGACACCTCTTGTGCAGGGCCCCGATCCCCCTTCCCAGTCCCCAGGAGCTGAGGGACTGCATGGGGCCCACCTGTTTCTCTGCGCCTGCGTGCGCAGAGCCGCTTCGCACCTGCCACCTGCCACCTGCCATTGGGCCCAGAGCAGCATCTGTCACCTGCGTGAGGGACAGACCTGGTCCAGGAGCTCTGTTTTCAGGCAACTCTCGCTGGCGTTTTAGGCAGAAACCTGTTATTTAGCCTCGGAGGCTCTCTGTCCTCACAGGACAAGACTGAGCTGAGCTATCTTTTAGAGAGGTCACCGAAGTGCCAGGAGTAGGGGCCCAGTGTTAGGCATGTCTTGTAATTTTTTAAATTGCCTCATGTCAGTCACCTTGGAAGGCAGTGCTTTTATGGACCTCAAAGATGATGGTACTAAGCATCTGAGAAGCTCTCCATTTTACTACTGCTGAGGGTGAGATTCAGACTCCAAAGGCTTATGGTACAGAGTCATGCTGACCCCTGGGGAGAACTTTCGGACAGGTTTTTTCTTCACGCTTCCCTCTGTAGTGTTTTAAATGTGCTCTTCAGGTCCTTTCTAGGGAAAGTATTTTAGGCCTCTCTGGAGGAAAAACTGGCACCAAGCAGTTTCTTTTACTGGGCTCAGACTCACCCACAACAACTGCAACCACGCTGATGTGTGTGAGACGGGGGAAGACCAGTGTCCCTTCCAACAACAGCATCACAGAGTGCCATGAGGAAGAACTGAAGCTGTAGTCCCCAGATCTCCCAGCATAGTGGTACCCAGGTTCCCCCATCCCTCCCCCAAACTCCCACACCCCTCCTATTACAGTAGGATGGCAGAGTAGCAAAGGGTCCCATTAAAAAACTATGGTGCCACAGTTCCTCTTAGAAAAGGCCTATGTTGGCATTACCCCTCCTCCCTGTGCTACTCCCGATCTTCAAGAAAAATTCTCAAACTCTAAAAAGGTGACAGAGAAGTTGGTTGGCAGGGACAGTGCAGGGCTTCCTGTACAAATAGCCAAGGGGTCTGCGAACTACACTGTCCTTTCTTTGGGGACATTCACCCTGAAGGCACAGGCTGCTCCAGGCCTGCCTTGCACTGGTAATGAAGTGGCCAGTGGTGTCCGTGGCTTGGCAAGGGGAGACAGCTGGCTGCAGACTTGGAGACCCAAAATGCACCCTGTGCCCTCAGGCAGGCCCTGCCTCACTGTGCAGACGGAGCCTTTTTTAGAAGCTACCATGTATGCTTAGGAAAAGCTGTACCTTTAGGGTAGTTTGGGGCAGAAACTACTTTAACGTCTTTATTCATCTAGGCAATGTTAGAAGCGTTCTGCAAAGTAGAAAATGGAGATAAATTGAGCTCATCAGAAATTCTGTTACAATTTGTTTCTAAGGTTGTAGTGAGTAAAGTTGAGACGTGACTCGTTGTTGGTTGTTTGCTCTTTGGTTTGCCAAAAGCCTCCATCCGTGCAGACACTCCGGCTTGGTTGAGTTAGTTATTTTAAGAATTACAGTACTAGCTTTGTGAGTACACAGGCCAGCTGGCTTCCCCCCAGTGTCATCTGTTGGATTCACAGAGGCTCACAGGTGAATTACAAGCTCTTAAGAGAACCACTTCAGCTTTTTAATCAAATGATTTGGAATCAGGCCTCAGACGTCGCTCACCCTGTCATATAAGTTTCTGCCTTCAATCTAGCTGGGCTGTGGTTTCCTCTAAACATAACATGTCCGCAGGCCAGACTAGTAGATTCTCACAATAATTGAAAGTATCTCATTCACAGGGTAGAAATCTTAAATTAATTCCTTGCCCAGAAAAGATTTAAGACGCTTTCAAAGCCTAGTAGATAGGCCCACACTATCAGGATTGATCAAGGTTGTTGCTGTTAATCCGGTGGTTAAAGAGGCTTCATTTAGCAAAAGCAATTTCAGGTAAATCCTCCCTTTGTAACCTCAGATGGAGGATACTGTGTTTTCATGCTTTGTTATTAGATGAGAGAAAGAAAATGAGGGATTGGGGGTGGGGTCCCCATCTGTGTCTAGGAGCAAGGCTAACTTCGTTTCATTTATTTTGTAGAAAGGCCCGTGCCATGGACATTGTGTTTAGGACAGTCCTTACCCAGGCTGACGCTAAGTTAGCTTTGAAGGGGGATTCTTGCTACAAATTTCTTAGGGCTTAGGGCTCAGATCCATACCTAGGTCATATGTGCAGGGACATTTAACCCTTACAAACCTGGAGCTTCTCATTGTATGATTCTCTAAAAAGTTTTCTCCTTCTTCTTCTTCTTCTTCTTCTTCTTCTTCTTCTTCTTCTTCTTCTTCTTCTCCTTCTCCTTCTCCTTCTCCTTCTCCTTCTCCT